GCAGTTGTCTTCACCAATTAAATCACAGAATCGCTCGGTTGGAAAAGCCCTCTGAGATCATCACGTCCAACCGTTCCTGTCTACCCCCTAAACCATATCCTTAAGTACCTCATCTACCCGCTCTTTAAATCCATCCAGGGATGGTGACTCCACCACCTCCCTGGGCAGCCTGTTCCAGCTGCTGACGACCCTCTCAGTAAAGAACTTCCTCCTTATCTCTAACCTGAAATGTGGCAAACATTCTCATCTTTACAATAGAAAGCGATTTAAAGCCACACGCTTCAATGGTCTTGCCAGACCACTCTGTTTTACAGCAGAAATAACGTACTGATGTTTGTGGATTACCAAGTCTTAGTGAGTTTTTATTCTCAGCGTACTCTATGCAGACATCTGCAAGTCAGGCTTAATTCTTCAAAGAGCACTCTTAGTTTAAGGGCTCTGTTTTCTTATGAAAAATATGTTCATTGCAGTACCTGGAGTGTTCACCTACTGCATCTTACCTGCTTACAACTCTTAATATTGCAGACAGAGTTTTTTCCTCATAAGTTAAGACATCAACAGGCAAAGCTGCTCCAACCTATGAAAAAACATGTTATTTAATAAGTACCATCCTATGCTTTTATAGAGGTTTATAAGTGAATTCACTGCCAGCGTGTGACATCATTAAAATTATCATAGTTATGTTCACCTCTCACACGTGTTTCAGCCACGACACCACTAGATTTTATACAGCACCCTAAGGTGCTCTTTAGATAGAAGCTGCTTTTAATTCCATGTTACAGCTGGGACAGGGACCCAGCAGTGATGTGACTTGCCTGAAGTCACCCAGCAATACCGTAAATAGAGCAAGAACAGCACTGTGGGCTTCCCCACCCGAGAAGCTGTTCCCTTCCCCCAGTTCTCCTTTTAAAGCTCCACTACAGCAAATGCACTGATACCACAGATCCCAAAACCCAGCCATGCTGGAGCCCCTCGACTACAGACGCTGAGACAAAACAACCCCAGCTTCACCAAGAGCAAGTTACACCACGGGCTGGAGGACAGGTCCTGGTCACGGCAGAGGCAAACCGAGGATGCCCATCCCGCTTTCACACACCCCAGGCTCCGGCCCGCCGTCAGCCCGACCCCAGGCAGAGCCG